AATTTTTTTTTTTTTTAAAAAAAAAGATAATTATAATATCTTAAAAATAAAAAAAAACTTATATGAAATATTCTAGTATTAATCTGGGATACAAATTTTCGTGTGAGCAAAAATGTTGTTTATCAATCAAGTTTTTTTTGTTTACTAAAAAAAAAAAAAAAATATTTTTTTTTTCGCAAAAGAAAAAAAAAAGGTATTATTATGTGACACAACATTATAACGGTTGGTCCGAGTTCCTACCCTTTTTGTTAGAGTTTTAATGGCCTGATTTAAACATTTAAACGACCACGCTAATCATTAAAACATAAATAATAACAACAGGATATGGAAATCTTTTTTTAATCCATTAATAAAAGATGCGTAGTTTGTACAAAAAAAGAAAATGTTTTTTTTTTAAAGTGTGGCTTCTTGCATATTATTATAAACACAACAAACGAAGCAAGTAATAAAGGAATTCCCGTTCTAAGATGTCTTCTAATGCATAAAAAAGGGCCTTGTATAAAAAAAGATTCGTTCATTTAATATAATTAATATCGTGGAATAATAATATTGGATGAATTGAACGCGTGACCTATAGAACCTATACAAATATGGTTCACCGAAAGATGAACTAAAAAAAGGGTAAACAAGGGAAAAATCAAAAAGAAAAAAAGGATATCAAATATCAAATAACAAACTAAACGAACCTTTATTAAGAAATAACGCGTTATGATACAGTACATTTTGGCGGATGGCGGAAAAAATAATAATAAATAAATTCATTATTTGGTAAAGATTCGATAATCGAAAATTAGCTTTTCTAAACTATATTTTTTTTTTTAAACTTTTTCTTATTACTAACCAAAATAAAGTAATTTGGCGGATTCATTTCTAAACAATTCATTAAAGTTGTTTAAAGTTTATTATTTAGTGATCATCTTTTGTCGGAAGTATTCCCCTTAAAAATTTTGGTGACAATAAAAAAAAAAGATTGATTTATTTGTTCAAGATATCTAAAAAAGATTATTAAAAATTTTATATCAGAAATTATACCAAATATACCAAATATGCAACGCGTACTATCACATAAATGACCTCGTGACGCAATTGTTGTAAATGTTGTAAACTTTAATGTAAACTTTATTTTATTTATATTTATACTTCAACTTTTAAGGTTATTTAAGTCTAAATAAATTAGTTTTAGTAGTATATAAACTATATAAACGCGTAAAAAGAAGTAAAAGAAGTATAAATCGAAACCCAGCTGAAACTAATTTTATTTTTGATTTTTTGTCGCGTGCTCATTACGCGCAATTATTATTTATAATTGTGCTTTAATTGTGTTTTGTGTTTTAATTGTGTTTTTCGACGTGACTTTAACCCATGATCATTTACTCTATAAAAGTTATACTGTAATATGTTGAATATGTTGGTTATGTTAGTTGTAAGTTGTATTCATTTAGCATATTTAGCATATTTAGCCTATTTTTCCTATTTTGCATATTTAGCCTATTTAGCCTATTTAGCCTATTTAGCCTATTTTGCCTATTTTGCCTATTTTGCCTATTTTGCCTATTTAGCCTGCAATACTCCTGCAATAATCTTACAACAACCTTACAGCCTGTAATTACTGTAATTAACTGCAACTACCTTACAGCCCATTTAACCTTCCTGTATGGCATTTAAAGAAAACCTGTAAGGGAACGCTAAGAAAATGTTGTATTCTCTTAATTCTAATATATTCTTATTATATTCTTATATTCTTATTCTATTATTCTAATTTTACCAATTTTTTTCTGGGGACAATTAAAAAATTGAGAAACAAGTAATAAAAATATAAATATTTTATTCAAAAATAGTTACCATAATTCTAATAATATATTTATACAACAAAAACAACAAAAACGCGACCGCGTGGTTATTGTGGTTATTGAAATATTGACTCTGGTCCAACCAGGATCCAAGGTCCAATAAATACGACTTTTAATGGACAAATGTTACAAATAACCTGATCACATGAACTATTAAAAAAAAAAAAATTTTTTTTTTTTTTATTTTTATGTGAAGATAACTTGTCTTGTATCACATTACACCATCATTAAAAAATCTATTTATTTTTGGTTGGATCAATATCAATTAAGGATAATTAATACCCGTAAAAAAAAAAATATGTTCAATTTCGTGTATCAATAATTAAATTGGTACAACTTGTCAAATACATCAAAAAAAAAAAATACACGATAAATTTTGTGTTACGGTAGGAAAATTTTTATTAACAAATCATCAACCTTTTTAAATGAATTTTAAAATTGATCTTTTTTTTTTTTTAATAATATTTTTTTTTAAAAAAAAAA